ACTGTGGTCGACTTAATTCATGAAACAGTTCCCTCGCTAATCAGTAAAAAGGATATCCTTCATGCTTTTGCGCTTCTGGCTAAGCAACAAAGGAGGCGTGACTAAGAAAGATTAAGCGCTTAGTAGTCTAAAGTAATCAAGCCAGGTGCTTTACATATTTTTTGGTCAAAGATATTAAGTTTATCAGATAAATAATCAAAATGGAAAGTGACCAGCTAAAGGCACTCAGGGTAAAGCATCTGACAGCCTTAACCAATATCCCGCCTAAGTCTACTTCATTCAAGACTAATTCGTCTAAATCAAGCTCTTCTGAGTCTAGTTCATCATCTGAGAGTAGTTCCTCTGAGACTAGTTCATCTGAATCAAGTTCTCCCGAGTCTAATTTGCATCTGAGAGTAGTTCCTCCGAGATTAGTTCATCTGAATCAAGTTCTTCTGAGAGTAGTTCCTCTGAGACTAGCTTATCCGAATCCAGTTCATCTGATTCTAATATTAATGAAATAGTAAACATGATTAAGCATCAAAGAATTCGGAAGTGCCAAACCCAAAGGAAAAATCAGGAGAAAAATGCATATAATAAAAATAAGGCTAATTAGCTATCTGATAAATGGGAGTCCAGAGCGATGATAGAGGTTATTTTTTCTGATCGAAAGGTATTCTAACTATATAAATAAAATAATGCATACAGATAATTTACTTGATCTTCTTTTGCCAGAAATAATATCATTTATTCTAAAGTATCTTTCAGAACAGAAACTAAAGAATTCTCGCAGTATAAATAATATATGGGAAAGAGAGGTGAATTTTAAATGGCGCAAAAGAATGGATTTTTTATTTAGAGGAATAGTTCAAGATAATTATACAGTAAAGGAATATTATTCGAAACTGAAAGAGTGTAATTTAAGCAAAGACTATCCAGAATGGCTTCTTAAAAATCTATTCCTCAGAGGATTATCACCTGAGAATACATTTAAAGTTCTTTTAAATGGGCTAGAAGTACTTTCGTTAGATAAGATAGTGGAAAGCCTTAGTCCGAAGCAGGCTGAAGGCACTTTGCATGATCATTAAGCTTAGAGAATTTATTTTTTCGATTAAAGATACAGCATATATTATTCATGACATATTCAAGTATTTTTATTATACTAGAACTATTAGAGCAGATTCTATATTTCCTAGCGGTAGATAAGTCACTATATTTCACTCTATTTGTTTTCCGATTATGGTACAGATGCAGTACACCTATTCTGTGAAAACGTGTAGAGCTAAAGAAGAATAACACATGAAAAATTTTTATGAAAATAATATATGGGGAGCAAAAGCCAGTTTATTGCTTAAATGTAACCTATCTAGAAATTTTAAATTACTATCGACTTTCAAATAAAGAATTTGAAGGCATTGTGGACCTGTTCCTAAATATAGTTCATTTAAATTTATATAATAGTGTGGGATTCAGTAATAAAATATTAAATCGAATAGCAGAATCATATCCCAATCTGAAGTATCTTAACTTGGGAAGGCATGGTAATGGATTAATAACTGATAAAGGTCTATATGTAGTTGCAAATTCATGCTATAAATTAGAATATCTAAGTATTTCTTCTCGCAAAGAATTTTCTAAAATAGTAATTTGGAATGTTATTCATTCTTGTCCATGAATCTAACAGCTCAATATTTACAGATATAAAATTACCTATAAAACTTTTGAAGAAATTGGATTATATCTTAAATTAAAATATTTAAATCTGGGTACTACCACTCGATATTTGAAAAAAATTGGCTGAAATCAGATAGTGTTAGGAAAGATCAGCTGGATGTAATTTTCCTGCCAGCTAGTCCAGAGCATTGATCGTGTAATTTTATTTTTTGTTTAAAGATATAATGTATAATATGCACTATGTATGGCGCAATCAAACATCTTTTATTTACCAGAACTATTAGAACAGATTATATATTTTTTAGCGATAGATAAATCTCTCTATTCCGCTCTATATGTATTCTGATTGTGATACAAATGTGATGCACCTATTTTGTGAAAGCGTATTGAGTTAAAGAAAAATAACCAGAGATATGGCTATAATATGAATAATCATTTTCGATTGGAAAAATTTGTAAAAATAATGTGCTGAAAGAATAAACCAGCTTATGCCTCAAATGTAACTCATCTAGAAATTACTTGTTACTATTCAGTTTCAGATAAAAAAAATAAAAAGTATTGTGAATACATTTCTGAATATAATTTATTTAAATTTCAAAGAAAGTATAGGTTTTGGTGGTAGATTACTATTCATAATAGCGGAATCATATCCTAATTTAAGATATCTCAATTTGTGGGATGCTAAAGCAATGACCGATAAAGGCTTATGTGCAATCATTGGATTATGTCATAAATTAGAATATCTAAATATTTCTTACTGCGGAAATATTAGCGATAAATCTTTGTTTGAGATCGCAGAAAATTATCATGATTTGCAAGAGTTCCATTTTGCCGAAGCACATCAGATCACAGATAAATCTATAAATTGCATCTTAAACTCATGCCTAAATTTACGAAATCTTGATATTTCACATAGTAAGGGAGATATCAAAGATATTAGTATGTTAATACAGAGATGTCTCAGCATAGAGTATCTTGATTTTGCTGGTGTCATGGTTTTGTGGAATGATGCATTAATTGTGGGTATTATCAGAGCATCTCTGAATTTAAGATATTTAGATATCAGTCATAATGATATTGGTGATGAGGTTGCTGAAGCACTAGCTCATATTTGTCATAAATTAGAATATCTCGATCTGGATTGCTATAAATTTGTCAGTGAATCATCAATTTGTAATGTTATACGTTCCTGTCCAAAGCTCTAACATCTTAACTTTAATTACTGTAATATTACCAGTATGGCTATCAAAGAAATTGTTCGCTCATGTCTTAATATAAAATTTCTAGCTTTGAATGGGTGTGAAAATATTAGCAAAAAAGCCATAAACCAGCTAAATCCAAATATTCATATCGATTTTGATGAAGATTACTGTTCTGATTCAGAATCTTCTAGCTCTGAAATCAAATCAGAGTCTGAATAATGTAGCTAGTCTGGAGCAGTGATTATTAAGCTTAGAGAATTTATTTTTTTGATTAAAGATATAGCATATATTATTCATAGCATATTCAAATATTTTTATTATACCAGAACTATTAGAGCAGATTCTATATTTCTTAGCAGTAGATAAGACACTGTATCCTGCTCTATTTGTTTGCCGACTTTGGTATAGATGCGATGCTCCTATTTTATGGAAGCATGTTGAGCTAAAGAAAGGTGAAAAAAAGGATTGCACTCAATTAAAGAAATTTATGAAAATAGTACGAAAAAGACAAAAGCCAGTCTATAGCTCAAATCTAACTCATCTAGAAATTTCACACTACCGCTATCTTTTAAATAAAAAAATCAAAGGTATTGGTATGTTTGTTCTCAAATATAGTTCATTTAAATTTTAATTTTAGCATAGGGTTTAGCAATAAAACACTAAATCAAATAGCGGAATCATATTCCAATCTGAAGTATCTTAATTTGCAAAAGGACATATATCTATTCTGCAATATAAGTATAATAACTGGTAAAGGTCTATATGCAATTGCCTGATCATATCATAAATTAGAATATCTAAATATTTCTCATCGCACAGATATTTGTGAACAATCAATTTGTAATATTATTCGCTCTTGCCTAAGGCTTTAACAACTCGACCTTAGCTATTGTAGAATTACTGATACGATTATTGAGAAAATTGCTGGTTCATGTCTTAATTTAAAGTATCTCAATTTGGAAGGGTATAATAATATTAGCAAAGAAGCTGTAGATCAGCTCGTTTCTTTTAATCAAATATTCATGTTAAGAATTTTATGTCGATTCAGGTACCTTCTCTAGATGTGATCCATGAACTCGTAAGGCGTCTGGAGATACCACATGATATACCAAGAGATGTTGCATCCTTAGATAATTTTATCATCGACAGATTATCAAGGAGATTGAGTGAACGCTGTATTCTAGTTAGACAATCGCTCTGAAATGTAGTTGGTTATATAACACCCAGCATAGTTTTGATAATATTCTGAATCCAGTTCTATCTCAATTATACCAGCAACTTAATTCCAATATATCTATGACTGTAGACTCTGGTGCTAATCACTCCACTATAGCTATAATCAGACAAGCACCAAGGAATTATTCAGTCACATTACCTGATCTTACTAATCTGAAGCAGTGATCTTCAGCTCAAAAGCATTTACTGGACTATGCACAACGCCTTCAGCCAGATTGTATGACAAAAATAAGTGGATCACTAGACAGGTTTGTATGACAGCCATTAAGGCGCTAAAGCATATTATTTTTCACATATACTGAAAAGAAGCTATGCATGCTAATCAGTACTTTATTTTTTATTAAGTATAATTGCTCTATTAGCAAAATGTCAGATGACGCAGATGAAGGCTACAATAAATTTATCAAAGAATATAGATCAAGATATGAATAAGATAATAAAGGGAATTCTGAATTTATATCAGAGTGGTAAGACTGGGAAGATCTATTTTGCGAAATCAAAATTTATTGAAAAATAAAGGCAGTCAGGCATTGGGAGAAGAAAATACTTAAACGATTTGTATATAGTCTGCCTAACATATGAAATCCAACATCATTATTCCATGTATTCATACAATCCAATGCTTTTTATCTCCTACAGATTTTAAGCTTAATAGAATTGCCATATAGTGCTGAGGAACTTTAATGGGAAATATGGTCGGAGGGTATTAATACAGATGGGATTAAAATAGGTAACAATGCAAATGAGATAGAGGTGTTCCATTATGGAATATTGCGTTAAGACAAAGATTCAATAGCAAATTATTATTCGAAGGTAAAGAGATGTAATGATATTGTCAATTTCAGCAAAGAGCGTCTTAGAAATAAATTCATTGATGAATTAACACTTGAAAACCAATAGTATATCGCAATGTCTGGATACTATCATATTCTTGATGAATTGGTAAAAGCACTTATTCAGGTAGAAAAAGAAACAATACCTGTTCTTACCGCATTTAGTGAATATTGTAGACAGGTCGGTATTATCAATCAGAATTTAATGCAGTCAATTTGGCACAGTGGCCCTCTGGCTATGCATTGGTTAGTCTGAAGTAGAGTTCCGTATTTGATCTGATCCAAAGTGATCCAAACATCGTGAACGAGCAGGAGAACCCTAGTCTGAAGTCTGTGATCACCAATTCAGAAGATTTGTTGAACTACAGATTGTGTGACAGAAAAATAAGTGGATCATCAGTCAGATCTTGTATGACATATTAATTTTCACATATATATATCGAAAAAACATATTAACCTTTATTCTTTATTTTTTCCTGAACAATCATGAGAAAAATGTGAAAGGAGGTCTACATGCGATACAGGACTTACCATAAAAGTAAATACTGACGGCAAAAGCATATGTTATGAAAGGCTGAAAACTTTGGAATTTCGAGATCGCTAAGCGTAATACTAACTATGTATTTCTCAATCTTCAGGTATAGATCTACATGTGAAAAGGTATGAGGATTTCATTTACATGTGCTTTTATAGAGCTCTTGGCATCAGACAACAATACTAATTACGCCTCATACCTCCTTAACTTCGGCTTGGTGCTCTTTTTCTAGCAAGATATAAAGCATGTAGGGGTATGTGAAAGTTCAGCCAACCTCCTGCAAAAATTTTTAAGGTATGTGTATGCCAGAAGTTGTGTATGTATGAGGACGAGTTTTCTCATTATGGGCTTTTGTATTTTAGAAAATGAAATATAGCCAATATTATTGACTTCAGATTTAAACTTTACAATAAATCAAATGATGAAATCTTCATAATCAAAATAGTCTAGCAAACATTGGTCAAAGACACCATACCTACCATTAAAAAAGGAATGGAAACACTTTATAAGCAGGTTCTTAATGAAATTAAGCTTTGTGTTGATAATCTAAAAGAGCTGATGACAGAGTTGAAACCAGATGATATGATTTCTAAGCATTTTAATATTGATCATATCGAAGAGGGTCTCATCTTCATATACCCGTCCCAAAGCTCCTTAGTAGTTAGATTTTTTATCTATATTTCATTATCATGTAGCGATAGGCCTTAGCTACAAAGTATAGTCGCAATTTTATGTATTGTAGGCCATCTTCTGGTAATGATTTATTTCATAAATAAAGTATTATTTTATCGAATATATATAAGAACAGGTTACATGTAATGATGCAATGCCTATACTATATAAAATCTATATCAATGCACAGTATTCTCTTTCCCGAACAGAAATAAATTTTATCTCACCCCAGAATACAACACTATTTTTTTTATTTGAGCCTAATATCCCTATAAAAACGTAATACTATATCTGAAACTAGTACACCTTATACTCCTGCTTCCACCTTCACTACTATTGCTGAAAATGAGATGGTCTCGTTAGCAGACGAAATTAAAAAATATGGCACAGAGAAACTTATTTCTTTTTTGCAGGAGCAGGACTTAGGACTTAGTGAGACTACTATCAAAATTTTAGAAAAGGAAGAGATTCATGGCTGTGCATTTCAAAGATGAGTTTCGTAGTATTGGCTTAGTTTGGAACCTGCTGTAAAGCTTGCTAACTTTGCTAAGAACTGTAAGGTGAAAAAATTAAAAGCATTCTCGTCATACCACAGTTTAAAGGAAGTATTGAAAAAGTATGGTATTGACTTAAATGGTATGGACACCATCCCACTATTTACTCTACAAACCCACGAAATTTAAGAGTCTGACAAGTATTTCAAGTATTATATAGTGGAAATTTTAGTCAGGTTAAAAATTATGGGTCTTTGGTTGTGGATAGCTTGGAAGCTATGCGCAATGAGTATATCGTGGTAATTCTTTATACCGCAATTAATATTACAAGAGATTTTACAGGGGAAGAGCTCAGCATGAGATCTGAATACAAAGTAATAGGTGATGATAGCACAGGACAGGTTGACTTCGCAATCAAGCTATTATGTTAATTTTTTTTCAGGACCTGTCAGTTTTCTGACATTTTTTTGAAGATATACTAATACCATACTTGTATTTCAGAAAGCTGAGAATCTTATTTGTATCACTGAAGATAAATTAGAGCGAAATCTAATCAAGGGTTTGGCTCAAAATATCAAACAACTAGAGAGCTCATGCCAAACGAATTTGAGAAAATGGAAGCGAGAAGACGACGATGATTTTAATTATCTGTATAACATTGTTACAATAGCTCAAGACTGGCACTTCCTACTCTATACTCTGGGGAAAATTCACAAGACAGTAAATTACTATTTAGCATCGAATTTTCTGAAAATGCTTTAGTTAAAGAGTCTGTAGAATATCAAACATTACGTAATGGCGTTAAAAAGGTGTTGGGCGTAGTGATAGAATTATTAAAGAATAGGGCATGTGCGGAAGACGATCCTTTCTCAAAGAAAAAGGCTAGAATAGAGGAATATCGTTTGAAAAAATAGGATGTATATTACATAGACGTCATATATCACAGGCAAAGTCCCGAACATTTGTATTTATTTTTTGCATGTAATAATAAAAAAAATTGAATTTTGCAGGTATATATGATAAGTGAAAAAAATATAGTCTTGGAATTGCCATTCCAAGGCTATAAACAAATTCATCTGTATCTAATAACATTTTAATAAAACATTCATGCTAGAGCTAGTATATGTCCTGGCCTTAAAACATTCATTTTGGTGAATGCATCGTATAAAGCATCTGGTTTGTATTTTGAAGAGGTAAATCTGGGTGATAGAAGAATTTCATGAGCGCGTCATTCCTTCAAGTTTTCATCTCTTCTTGCTCCCAAGTTAATCCTATTAGTGTGAACAAGTTATCACTGGAATAATTCATTCAGATTAGATTCTAAAGTGAGGATCGTTTATTTTTTTCTAGGGTAAATAAACTTATTCTTTCTATAACAGCAGATTCTACACTAATAGGAAAGTTTTTACAAATATCTGCTCTATTCACTAAAATAGATAGAAGTGGAATTAAAGCTGGGTGGTAGAAGTCTACTAAAGGGTCTAATTCGAATTTACTAATATATATAGTTCCAATATCTTCTAAATAATCTGAAAGTCTATCAGTATATTTATAACCTTCATAAATCAACTTCCGGAATAGCTTTCCTTTTAGGTTGATCTATCAATCTGACAAAATATTGAGTACTGTTTTTTTCACATTCATAGATGATGATTTATGCTGTGGTATATGATTAATCGTTTACAATATACTTTTTTCACCACAGTTCAATTAGGATTTTCTCATTTTAAAATTTGAATTCTATAATGTGAAAGGTATAAGAATATAATAAATGGATTGTCTTACCTGCCCACATATTAGAAAAGATGAAAGCACTTGTGGCTGTGTTTGTATTCGCTTGGCAGGATGCTCACTCTACTGGAAATCAGATGCAAATAATATGCTAAAATCTCCATATAGAATATGCGATAAACCTACATTATCTTATACAGGCTATTGCTTCAAGTATGCCAAAAAAATTTATCGTCGCCTCGAAAGAGAGAGACAATGAATAAGTTTGTCATAATGATGATGCCTACTTATATGATGATCGTTTACCCCTATTAATAAAAAATTTTCTTGGCAAAAGAGATCTGCATTCCAAATTGAAACGGACACGTGATTTTTTTTATTTTAAATGCTTATATAAAAGTGTTATTAAAGATGGAATCTGAAATTGATTTACTTAGATAAGAAAATACCAGACTTGTGGCTAAGAATTATGAGCTCGAGGCTGAGATCGTAAAGCTGAGTCAGATTATTGAGGAAAATATCAGGTGTGATGTTAGGGTCAAAGAACTAGAGCAAAAAAATACAGAACTTGAGGCTAGACTTGCGTCATTGGAACAGGCTTCCTTGATAGTGAATAGATAGCCACAGAATAATAATGAAATGATATCAGAGGGGTTACTAGAGGTATTCGTACCAGCTGTTGATGTATCTGAATTTGTAGTAGACCAGCAAAATAATGTTGATACCAAGTCAACAGAGGATAAGATAATAGATGATTGTTTGCTTAAGCAAACACTGATGCTAGAAGTGTTACTAGAGATAACTGATATACATGATGTTTGCTAAAGTAAACCCAGTTTGAGCAGTATAAGCCTGATAGCAAAACAAATAATACAGTATCAGAGGTAAGTGTGTCTATCAGCCCTCCATTTTGTGAAGAGAATAGGGAGACCAATGAATTCTTAAATGCGATATATAAGAAGAAGGTTGGCAATGAGATTAGGCAAAGGAAGCAGGAGAAAAAACTTCAAGATAATTCATCACCAGAGGTAACTTCTCAGAAAAAACCAGATTCAGAAACACTCATAACTTCTTTAGATTCTGCCATTCCCTTAAATGAAAAAAATGGACAGGATTGTTCTTTTTCTCAATCAGAGATTTCATGAGATAAGAGGAATACTCAGTTTTCAGAAAATTCTAATAACAGTCCATTATCTAAATCATGTAATGCTTCTTCTAGCTTCGAATGTGATGAGAGGATGGGGAAAATTCCCTATAATCTGAAAGTAGAACAAGACTTGAGAGACAAGTTATCTACTTACATGAAAGGTAAGAGATCCGCTTCACAGAGTGAGATAAAATATTTGATATACAGATTCCCGAATTCTCTTTAGAAACAAATCTGATAGGATCTAATAAAGTTACATCACAAGTCATAGTTGATCTATTTAATATAGCAATGAAAGCCAGACGAAAGGAGATCTTATGCTGGTATTGTTACTATAAGGCGTATGAGGATCGAGTTAGGGATGTTAAGTCTAAGAATGGTATTGATAACAAATTAGCAAGAACATTAGTATACAGTGAAATCAAACTTCTTCTTCCTGACATTACTAACGTAAACTTGCGTAAAATAACTTTTAGAGCTAAAAAAATCTATATATTGTTTGATGGGATAGGAATAAATAGAATCTAAATAATTAACTGTAATGCAAGTGCCATCTCGAATTTACATGATAATCAGATCCAGAACATTATAAATGATTTCTCCAAAAAAGCTACTAATACAGATGATGTAGGTTATGAAGACTCCGTTCCAAATTGGAACGGACACGTGACTTCAAAAACCAATAAGACTGAGATATAAACGAATCCCTTGAGAGTAAGTATATCGGCAAATGTATTATCTGCATCTCAATCTTATGACCGCTCCTATTTTCGTAATAAGACATTGGATCAATATTCCAACTTATATAGAGAATATAGTAGTGAAGACTTCGATTATTATAGCATTACTGATAAGACATTATGCCCATTATGCAAGTTAGGTCATGATGATGAGGAAAGCATAGAAGGTATATATAAAATCAGATCCTATTTTATTAAATGTGAACAGTGTGAAATTGAGATAACTGCATAGTCTCATTATTTTACAATACTGTATATTTGTGTTTCTCTTGAGAAACTATTTTTTTACAGGGCTAATCTACATCGACTATACTTACTATAATTTAAATTGATTTGTAATCATATAAAAAGACAATATGACCAAGTCTGATAAAATATTAACCCCTGAATATCTAAATTGGCATGCCAAATTAAGTGGATTACAAAACGTTTTGACAGATAAAATTCGTTTCAGATTATATAAAACATATAAGAAAAAAACTGGAAATAAGCCATGGCAATTATTAGAAGCCATGATAAGTATATCAAAAAAACCTTAAGCCTCTGATTTTAAGCCTATTACTTTTAAAGCCAAACCTGATTCAGAATTAATTATCAAGTCTGTCTTAAAGCATTTCATATACCTGAAATTCTGAAATAATTTTAGAAAGATTGATAATTATAATTTTGCATTACATCAGCTGAACAGGAGGAACCGTCCCAAATAAGGAGACCGGTTACACAATTTAATAAAAATTTTTTATACACTTTACAGTACTTTTTAAACGTAATTAAATGCATTAAGTAAATTTAAAACATTCACACTAAACTATAATATATTTATTTAATTTCCATTAATCCCATATCTTTATATTACTATTCACCTACTTAAGATATGTCCAGTATAAGGCAATGTGCAGAATACCAAACTACTAATTTGATCAAATTTTGTTTGCTAAAAGGAAAAAAGTGAAAAGAAGCTGAAAAAAACAACCTAGTGAAAATGTCATGGAAGGAAGGTATTCTTTTATGTAATATATGCTATATGAGCTTTATAGAAAATCCTCTAAAAAAGGTCCCAAGTGAGTGAAAACTATGAACGAAAAGGAGGTAAATACGAAGATTGATTTTGCTAGAGCCATCAAGTCAATGGCAAAAATCCTTTATGATAAAGAATACTTCAAGAAAGAAGAATCCATATATTTATTCAACGAAATGTGAAGAACATTTAAAGAAATTGAACTGGGTTTGAAGGATTTCTTTAACTAACTTTATTCAGCAGCTTGACTACTTACATGCAGCGTGAAAAAAAAACCTTGAAAAATTTTGGAAAAAATCCGGTAAAAGATAAAAATTCCAGTATTTATTTTTTTTAACCGGAACTTGTAATCGAAATTAAAAAATATTTCCGGTTTTTTGTATCACTAATAAATGATTATATAAAATATGATAATCTTTTTTTCAAATTTTATCGCATTTTATAATGTCA